GAGAGAGAGAGAAAGAGAGAGAGAGACTCAAGTGATACTGGTCTGTTGCTCAAGCTGAAATTAAAAATAGATACAATTTTTAAAAAGAATGAAACATTTTTTATTTTCTTTCTTTTCATCCCATGCCCATTTATACGAGATGGACGACATCTGATTAGTAGAAAAAAGTGCGTATGATAGTGTCCAATAGTGTATTATGTTCATATTTAGTATGACAAGTAACTGTTACAGATAGAGATTCCACGATTATAGATGTAAGTCATTGATCTGAGAGCAATGGTGATTTTAAAGTTAATTGTGGCGATGAGTGATGATGTGGGATTGAGTTTAAGTAATGTTAGCGTTAGTCCTATCTTCCTCTGTTCCAATCAGTCACGAGAGACGTGGGAACCCTCTACCCCGTTTCCTACTGGGGATAGAGGGAACGTAACACAAAGACACTATTTGTAAAAGTTTGGAAATGATGTCAAATGTAATTCAAAGTTAGATTAATTGTATTATGTTAGCATTTCTTTTAAAATATACATAATTAGATCCTTATTATGCATATACCTTGTCTGTTATTTCGTTATTATGTATATAAGCAGACCCTTTGTCACCCTCATCAAAGGTCACAACAAAGGAATAAGGAACGTGAGGTGACGTTCAGACAAGCTCGAGGTAGTGAAAAGAAATAAAACTTTATTTCAGACTTTCTAGGTTAAGTGGACTGGATTAGAATAAAGATCTCTTACTGTCTTCTTTTGTGTTTACGAGATCGAAGGAAAGCCGAGAGAAAGAGAGGAAGAGATGAAAGACAAAGAAACGACAGATGAAAGTACAACACGAGAGAACTATGTGTGAGAAAAATCGACGGAGAGAAAGAGAGAGAGAGTGAGTAGGGAAGGAAGTAAGAGAAAAGGAAGAGGCAGGGGGCGGGGTTGATGGGAGATGGATGAGAAGATTAGAATGATCAGAATTAATGAAATGGTTTCGTCTGTTTTATATAGTTTGAGAGAAAGAAAATAGAAGATAAAGCGTTTGTGTGTG